TTTTTTGTCCCAGCAGTTTTGAAAACTCATTGTATTTTATTTTTTTAACATCTTTTTAGTTGAGAGTGGTGGTCCTCTCTAGGAACAAAGTAAAGCAACAGTTGCCAAGATGGGACTTTTTTTCCCTCTCTAGTAGATAGTGGAGTTAATGGACACTGTCTTTGTTAGATTTTCCTGGAAAACAAGATAAAATAGTTACTTTGAAAATGCTTCAGAAAATAGGTTTCAGCTAAGAAAATGGGGTGATCTGTGAATCACACATATTTGTGTGGTTCAAGAATATGTCCCAAAGCTGACAGTGGTGACTAAAAATAAAGAATCTGTCATACTTTAGGTGATCGTCTATACATGCATCTCATTTATTTATCTTCTAACAATTATTCCTTATTTACATTTATTAGCTGACATTTAACAGTAGCCAATTTGCAGGACTGTTGCTTGTAGAAATAACAGAATGGTATTTACAAGAGTAGTTTTAAAAATTGCAATGTGTTTGGGTCAATAACTAAAAAAAATTTCCTGTCATTCTTTTATATGCTAAAAGGTTTGGATATGTTATATTATACTTTCTCTCTACCTAGCCCATAATAAATATTATGGCCAGAGGCAATGCACTCAGCATCCTTTCCATCCATTTTCCAGAAATATTTCTCTGTAATGATTGGGCATGTGAATAATGATTACGTGTCACAAACATTCCCTCTTGTTAGTCTTACTAGCATCCTGGGAGATGTGTGAGCTCAGAAATAGGATTATCATTTGTTTTCGTGATATTTTAAACTTGTGATCTGTTTCTTCAATAGAATGTGAACTGTCAAATGGTAATTGTTACTTGAAGTTGTTTCTTTCTGTGAAATAAACCCTCCAATATTCCTTTCCCTCCTCTCTTACTTATAAGTGTGAACACACACTTGCAGAATAATGAGGCTTTGTTGTCATAGAAAACTATTAAATCATGTATTTTTTACTTCCTAGGTTAAAGAAAAAAGAATAGATGTGTGAGGAAAAAATTGCACGAACAACCCTTGGACTATATTAGTTGATTTTTAAGTCAGAAACTTCTGAGATGGTTTTCCACCTGGAAGTAGACAGTGTACTATTCTAGAGAATTTGCATAGCTCATCCTGACTGAATTCTTACTCTGCCTGATGTCTTCAACCACAAATTGCATTGTAATACAAGGCTGTCTATTGTCTGAGAATATCTTGGAAATCTCACTGAACATCACAGGAGGCTGTAAGTTCTGATTAAATTGCAATTGTAATCCTGCCCAGATCTTAGAGAAACATATTCCATTTTATTTAGTGGCGCCTTAAACATACCAGAGTGTTCATTGGAAGGACTGATGTTGGAGCTGAAACTCCAATATTTTGGCCACCTGATGCAAAGAACGGACTCATTTGAAAAGACCCTGATGCTGGGAAAGATTGAGGACAGGAGGAGAAGGATGAGATGGTTGGATGGCATCACCAACTCAATGGACATGGGTTTGGGTGGACTCTGGGTGTTGGTGATGGACAGGGAGGCCTGGCATGCTGCGGTTCATGGGGTCACAAAGAGTCGGACACGACTGAGCTACTGAACTGAACTGAAACACACCAGACTAATCATGAACTTTTAAGCTCACTATACATTAAAAATATAAAAAATTTGAAGTATTTTGAAATTATTGAACATGGGTTTCCCCGGTGGCTCAGCAGTAAAGAATCCACCTGATAATGCAAGAGGCACGAGTTTGATCCGTGGGTCAGGAAGATCCTCTAGAGAAGGGAAGGGTAACCCACTCCAGTATTCTTGCCTGGAGAATCCCATGGATAGAGGAGGCTGGTGGGCCACATACAGTCCCTGGGGTCACAAACACTCAGATAACACTGAGCTACTAAACAGCAACAATGCAATGTAACTATCTTTGAAGAACTGTGGTATACATCAAAGACATATATAGAAGCTATTTTCAAAAGCTGATCTTAACCTAAGGGGCATATTTCACTTTTCTAAGAATCATTCTACGTTCTGTGGAGTTCCCCACCCCAGGTGCCTGCAGGGCCCTGAAGGTAGCATGGGGAGAAATCGTGCCAGAAACAAGTGTTTGTGTGCAGATATTGTCCTGGGGGAGCAGGCACACTGGGGAGATGCATTCCACCTGAACAACTAATCAACTCCTCAGACTTTAGCCCTGGAGGAGGAGGGGTCCCCTGTGGTTGGGCTTTAAAAGAGAAGCCAGAAATTTGTTTTCTCTATGAAAATGGAAATTGTTGGTTTCATTTTGGAGAACATCTGAGCGTTCTAAACAAAGCCTGTCTCCAGGTCTCACTTGAATACTAGTCTTTAGTTTGCAACATTTCACCAACTAAGCTAAATAAAGTCCTAATAAAAAAAAGTACTATAACTTCAAAGGGAGCCCAGCCTGGGGCTCTGTGATGACCCAGAGGGTTGGGATAGAGGAGGAGAGAGGCTCAAGACGGAGGGAGCAGACGTGTAATCACGGCTGAATTTCCTTGTTGTATGGCAGAAACCAACATGACACTGAAACAATATTCCTCCAGTTAAAAAATAAACAAAAAAATACTGCAACTTCAAAATATGAATATGGTGAAAATTGATCATATTTGGGGAAAAATCTTCTAAAATACCTTATAAAGACATATACTCACACATATGCCATCTTTACTAGGAAGCGTATGCCTGTCCAAGAAAGTGAAGATATCGGAGTTGTCCATTATTGGTGGGGTCATTCCACAGGTATGCATTGAGTACCTGTGATACCTGGAAAGTTAGGCTTGGTAAGGTGAGGGGCTCAGTAGGGTTTGCTGGCAATACTGAGAGGCTGAGATGTTTTATTGCACTTATCCCACGGCTCTACCACCAGTCACTCTGTTCTACAGCACAGAGCTCTGGATGGTTCATCTAGTTACACTGATGACCTTACACACTGGAGGGAAGAGTGATTCCACAAATGCAGCATCTGAATTAACACATTTTCACATGCTCAGATAAAGTTTGGTGATAACTAGTAACTCCTGGGTACTGGGTACTTCACCTACACTGAGGTACTGTGTTCAGTGTTCCACATCTAGGGTTTTTAGTCTGCAGATTGCACTATGGGAAGAGGTGGTTCTCCTTAGGGAGAGGGGACGGAAGCCCTGAAGACCTATTGAAACAATGACTTTCACCTGCCGTCCAGTAACAGAGCAACATGCAGGGCTTCTGAGGCTGTCTTATGGAGAGAGAAAACCCTAAACAAAGAGCCTCTGTAGGATGGAGCCTGTCCTGAGGTTCTGCGTCTGTGAAACAGCACAGGAAAAAGGTCAAGAAAGAAAGGAAAAAATTGGAAGGAAAGAAAACAAAGGCAAGGAGCACAGTTGTGAATTGAGGATGCAGGAAGCCAAGAAGGCAGCCCAGCCCCCTCCTTTGGTGCTGAGAACAATGCCCGGGCCAAGGATGTCCGGAGGCTGCCTGTGCTCATCAGCGGTGGCGGGCGAGATAAGACCCCTGGTGTGTTGTGCGTGTGTCTCTAATAATTAGTATCACAGGGACATGGAGCCGGGCTGTCGCAGCCCTGCCTCATTCATTTGCTGACGGCTCCCTTAAAAAATGAATCACGCACACCTCCATCGCATTTTGTCAGGATAATGATAACCTTTTTGAAATGACTCCCTCTGACTCTGGGTCAGCCACGTGGGCTGCCACGAGTCCCACTGAGGAGGAAAAATGTCTAGTGACCTCCTTGTTGTGTGGAGGGTGGTGGGATGAGACAGCTCCACTTCTGTTGAAGGGGGCAGGTTACTGAAAACAGGAACTGTTCCTAACGTAGTCATAGTCTCACTTAGTTATGGCTTCACCACTCCTGGATCAGAGAATGTGGCCTGCCTTATATGCATCATGTGTATGTGTGCTCTGACTCTGTGACCCCCATGGACTATAGTCCTTGAGCCTCCTCTGTCTGTGAGATTCTCCAGGCAAGAATACTGGAGTGGGTTGCCATTTCCTTCTCCAGGGAATCTTCCCCAACACAGGGATCAAACCTGGGTCTCCGGCATTGTGACAGATTCTTTACCACTGAGCCACCTGAGAAGCCTTATACATATCACTCAATACTTTTTTTTTTTAATGGGAGAAGCTGTAAGCCAGAAGGATTTGCCTAGATCATTTAATTAAATGATGCATTTTCACAATGACCCAAGACAATAATGGAGTTGTTTATAATATTGTCTCTGGAAAAATTGCTATGAAGACATTCAAGAAAATTTAAGGAAAATATTGAGATTTTGTATGTATATATAAAACTAGGATATAGAATTTTGAGGTTTGGGGTTTTTAGAAAATAGTTTTGCGGTTCGTATTTTAAATCCACAATGGAATTATAAAATTGCATTTCAGCACAGTAAAATGAGTGGTGTGAGGAAGAGGGCTCTGTCTGCCACATTCTGTCCTGATTGGAAACTTGTGCATTGGAACTCTGAACAAAGATGTCAGTCAATCATGGTGTGTCCTTCCCATTTCCCAGGGACCAGGAAATACAATGCACACCAAGGAATAAAGGGACAACAAAAGCTATTAGTAGTCACAAAGGATGCACATAGTAGGTTTTATGTGACTGAGTGTATGAATTGGTATATCAGAGTAATTTCTAAACAGTTTCTAAAACTAATGTTTGCACACAGGTGTCTTTGGCCAAGGTAGGTCACATTCTGGAATGGACTGTACATTGCTGACTACTTCCTGACCTCACAAAATCCAGCCTACAGGTTTTGAAGGGGGCTGAATGCACCCCCTTCACTCCTTTTCTCACTGTCTGAGCCCTGGGCCAGGTACTGCGCTGGGCACAGAGGATGAAAGTGACAGATTGACTTAAAATGCCCTGCTCGAGCAGGAAGTGTGAAAACCAGTCATACTTCTGAGAGATGAGAAGGAAACCAGCCCAGAGGAGAAACCAGCAGGTGGTGGCAGCGAACCCAACCTGATGAGAATGTGTGCAGACCTGGTGGGGGAAGCGGTGATCAGGCTGCGTTGTTTCTGTCTTCCAGGTGATTCCTCCTGGTCTCAGGGTTTTCCTGGAAGCCCTCCTTTCCCTCACTCACCCTGCGGGCATGCACACACATGCACACACACATGAACACATGCACACCCTGCAGATCCATCACTCCCCTACCCTCTCAGTGGTGCTTGGTCTCCAGTTCCTCTGTCCCTCTTGTAGTTAAGTCCTGCCCCCCATGAGTCCTCCCAGACAGGACAGTGGCCCCAATCAATCTACATCCCTGACACTTCCACCTTGATGCCAGAGCCTGACCCCTGAAATATGATACTGACCTTACCCCTGCTGACCTGAGACCTTCAAGGACCTTCCTTTACTTAGGGAACAAAGGCAAATCCCTTCTCTGCCAGGTGGTCCTCACCCTGGTATAACAGACATTCTCCCATGTGTAGTGCACACATGTGTAAGTATACATTGTGCTTGTGTATGAGTGTGCATACCTGTACCATACATGTGTGTGCAAGGTTTGTGAATGTGTGCATATGTACATATGTGTACACATGTGATTACATATGTGTGCTTGTGTGTGAGCATGCACACATGTACCCACACTCATGTGTGCACTCATGAGTGTGTGCAGATGTGTGTGTGCATGTATGTGTGGTCACACCTCCCACTGCATCCTGCAGCCATGTGTTACCTTCGGTAGCTGTGTCTGTCTGGGTGCTGAGAAGACGTGTCACCAAGAGCAGCCAGAATCCGGGGCCAGCAGAGAACAGGAGAGGACTGGGGGAGGGGCTGGTTCAAAGAAGCCTGGGTCCGAGGAACTGAAGGCTTCCCTTGACTTATGGTTTCCTGGTCCGCCGGCCCCAATGGTTCCACCTTACTCCCGGAGTTCCAAACGAGGACAACAGATGGGCTCGGGCTCAGGGTGAAGGTGCAGGGAACACCATCCATCCGTCCGGTCCCTGACACGAGTCCTTCCCGCCACAACCCCTGGACTTAAAATGCACTTTCTGTGACAGGACAGTTGACAGATGAGCGGGTCTCCTCCGAGTCCTGAGAGCAGGACGCTTTTCCGGCATCCTCAAGCATCCTCCAAGAGGACCAGGGGCTGCGTCCCTCCTGCGCCTGTTCCTCATTGCACGCTGCCTGGGCTGGCACCCATGCCTTCCTCCCCTGCCCTCTAATTGCTCAGCTCATAGTAACTGATATCTTCCGAGGTGCGGGGTAAATCGACTGGTTAATGTCCATGAAAGGATGTGGTCCTCGCATAGCGCAGCATGAATGGGGTTTTGTTTAGTATCTGTATCACAGCTTGATGTGCTCCCTTCTCACCCTTCTATTTCTACCATGTGAATCGTCTCACCTGCAGTAAGTGGCTTGATCTACAGGTGCATCCAGAATGCAGCCTGGCAGGTGAGCCCACATAGGAAAAGCAGGTTGGTCACCCAAATTTCCAATCCCTGCAGTCTGTCACTTTTTCCACCAAGGCCTCTTGCCTTTTGGAGCGTCACTTTTTTTCTTCATCAGACGTCTACTTTTAGCCTGCAAATAACTCCTAAGAGGCTCTGTGTTTACCCAATAGCTCTGCCTTCTGTTAGAACCTGCTTCCCCATGATGCTGAGTTCAGCAGCCAGCTGAGAGCTGGAGTGAGGAGTGGAAAAAGATGCTTAGCATCCGCCGAACACCCAGCTCTTCTCAACACCCACTTCCTGGTCGTCTTGTCCTTGGGCGGCACCCTGCTACTGATTCTGGCTGGTGGGCAGTGGGCAGAATGACACGGAAACTTCCCTGGGACCCTCCAACCCTCCCCCAACCGCACTGGCCACCAGGAAGTGGAGAGGGTGTGGAGCAGAGTCCTCCCCACGGGCCCCTGGGGAGACCACTGTGGAGGAGACAACCCTTCATGCAAACTCCTGAGATTCAGGTCCATTTGCTTCTAAAGCGTCACCTGGCACTGTCTGAGTAACAACAGGAATATGAGGGACATGAGTTTATACAAATATGCCCAAAGCGGGTGGGTGATTTTGCCTACATCTCCTACTGTGTTCCCTCTGGGCTATACTCTTCTCCCTTCCTTCCTCCCCTCCTTCTGCACCCCAGCCCTGTCCCCACGGCCTCCAGCACGGACTCTGGGACCTTGGTCTGTGCTCCCACCCCTGCTCTTGGGGTGCCTGCCCCTCTCTCCTTCCTGAAGGTGGCAGTGCCCGGTGCCCTGTAACTCCACCTCACATCACTGCTGGCCCAGTTCCTGCCAACACTGAGATGGTTTCTCCACCATTGCAGCCTCTCCACCCCTCGACCTCTCATCCTCCTAGACTGGAGGGTCCTGCCACATCTAGCTGAGCAACACCCTTTCTGACCACCACATCTTCGCACCCCCCGACTCCGTGCTTGTTGTCTCTGAACCCACCTGACCTGTCCCGCTTCGCCATCCCTCACAGCATGCACACCTCCTCCCTGACCAGCAAACACCACAGTTCACATCACACCTTTGCACACCCCCCTCTCCGTCTTTGTTCCCCATCCTGTGTGTCTGTGTGAGACCCACTGAGTCTACCCTAGTGGACTGGAGGTGGACAGGCTCATGCCAGCAGGCATCGTCACATACATGCATGTGGCCCCACCTGGCCCTTGCTCCTGAAAGATGGCTCTCCCTTCCCTCCTCCTGCTCCTGATCCCTGATCCGCTCAAACTGGTGACATACTCCCTGTTTCCCTGGGAACAGGGGCTGTAGGAAGAGAACCCCTGAGGCCCCTGGCATGAGACCTGGAGTCAGTGTCCCCGATTCCCTGGGGGCCCTGGGGGGATGCCCATCCACTCAGGCAAAGACCCTGCTCCTGTTCAAGGACAGTCCGCAGCTCCCTTGCCACGGTTTGTCTCATCTGATTTCCATGCTTCAGAAGCCTGTCGGTTCCTATTCTGTTTACGCCTGCCTCCCCGTCTTGGTGCGGTTATGAATTTATTCAGTTTGGTTCGTATATGATATTCAGATATGAGAATGTAAATGCACTTGGACCAGAGGCGTGGGACATTTTATACAGCTCTGGCAGGCATTGTGTGCTTTTTAATTTGGGGGTTATTATAAAAATGCTGCAGTAAACACATCTTTGAGCAGAGACACAGCCACATCAGATAGATCCATGGACATAAATTGCACAGTAAAAATGTGTAATTACAAAGTGTTGACAAATATTGCTAAATTGACTTCAGCAAGATATCTCCCCCTATTTTTCAGCTTCTGGGCCACCATAATATATTCATGTTTAGCATTTCTGACAATGTGGTGAACTAAATTCTCAACTTTGTTTTATTTGGCATTCTCTTTTGTATTAATGAAATTGATTATTTTTCATGTGACTGTTGGCCATTTGTATCTCTTCTAATTTCTTCTTTACGAAAAAGTGTTAGTCGCTCAGTCGTGTCTGACTCTTTGTGACCCCATGGATTGTAGCCCACCAGGCTCCTCAGTACATGGAACTCTCCAGGCAAGAATACTGGAGTGAGTAGCCATTCCCTTCTCCAAGGAATCTTCGTGACCTAGGGATTGAATCTGGGTCTCCTGCATTGCAGATTCTTTACCGTCTGAGCTTCTGTATAGACATATTTTTCTTTTTTTCTTTTTCTTGTCCCTTTTCCTTTTGTTTTGTGGGAACTCATTAAAAAATTTTGTTGTTGTTGTTGTTGTGGGCCATTTGTAAAGTCTTTATTGAATTTGTTACAGTATTGCTTTTGTTTTATGTTTTGGTTTTTTGGCCTCAAGGCATGTGGAATCTTAGCTCCCTCACCAGGGATCAAACCTGCATCCCCTACATTGAAAGGCAGATTCTTTTTTATTTTTTTTTACAAAATTTACTTTTTTATTTACTGATATTAAATTCAAATTTTATTTTGCAGTTAGATAAAATTTGTCTCATTTATTTTCATTTTTTGCTCCTTTGTTTTTATTTTATTTTCATTTATTTTTATTAGTTGGAGGCTAATTACTTTACAGTATTGTAGTGGGTTTTGTCATACATTGACATGAATCAGCCATGGAGTTACATGTATTCCCCATCCTGATCCCCCCTCCCACCTCCCTCTCCACCCGATCCCTCTGGGTCTTCCCAGTGCACCAGGCCCAAGCACTTGTCTCATGCACCCAACCTGGGCTGGTGATCTGTTTCACTATAGATAATATACATGTTTCGATGCTGTTCTCTCAAAACATCCCACCCTCACCTTCTCCCACAGAGTCCAAAAGTCTGTTCTATACATCTGTGTCTCTTTTTCTGTTTTGCGTATAGGGTTATTACCATCTTTCTAAATTCCATATATGTGTGTTAGTATGCTGTAATGTTCTTTATCTTTCTAGCTTACTTCATTCTGTATAATGGGCTCCAGTTTCATCCATCTCATTAGAACTGATTCAAATGAATTCTTTTTAATGGCTGAGTAATATTCCATGGTGTATATGTACCACAGCTTCCTTATCCAAAAAGTCTACAAGCAATAAATGCTGGAGAGGGTGTGGAGAAAAGGGAACCCTCTTATACTGTTGGTGGAAATGCAAACTAGTACAGCCACTATGGAGAACAGTGTGGAGATTTCTTAAAAAACTGGAAATAGAACTGCCATATGACCCAGGATTACCACTTCTGGGCATACACACCAAGGAAACCAGATCTGAAAGAGACACATGCACCCCAATGTTCATCGCAGCACTGTTTATCAGAGCCAGGACATGGAAGCAACCTAGATGACCATCAGCAGACGAATGGATAAGAAAAGGCAGATTCTTTTTTTTTTTTTTTTTAATTTATTTATTTATTTATTTTTTTAATCACAACCATAGTGTATCTTTTTTTTTTTTTTCTTACATGTATTCCCCATCCCGGTCCCCCCTCCCACTGAAAAGGCAGATTCTTATCAATGGAACCATTAGGGCAGTAGGAACTCTAAATCTTCTGATTATTACTGCTTTTCGTATGGATTTGCTGCAAATAACCACTCCCAGTCTGTGTTGCCTTTCTATCGACTTGCTTGTTGGTATTTTTCATGAAATTGTAGTATCTCAGTTGGAGAGGACACACACACACAAACACTACCTCAGATATAGGTCAGTCTCTCAGTTGTGTCTGACTCTTTGTGACCCCACTGATAGCCTGTCAGGCTCCCTTGTCCTCCACTGTCTCCCGGAGTTTGCTCAGATTCATGTCCATTGAGTTGGTGATGTCGTCCAGTCATCTCATCCAGAGGGAACTGGCTTTAGGGACCAGGACGAGAGGCAGTAACAGTGTCCACAGCCTCCCAGGTTCTCAGTGTCCTCTCTGGGGGCAGGCAGTTGCCTGCAAGAATGAAAAAAAAAAAATTTAGTTTTCTTTTTTGTACCTTTTTAGCAGGGATTAAAATCAGGCTTCTATTACCTTTCTAACATGAACCAGACAACTTGATTTTTCTATCTTCTGGAGGCGGTCAGAGGCCAAGGTAATGCATGAAATTTTAGATTTTGTGATTCACCAGTCAGCTATATACAGACACATGAGGAAAAGCAAATGGTGATGGTTTCCAGTCATTATGTTTAGGATCTATTTTGCAGCAGCAACTGGAGGAGGCAAGAATGAGGAGGAGGGAGGTACATCTCAGGGATGGGTGGGATGCAGGGTTTCCAATGAGACCCAGGAGTCTGGGGTTTATCCTGAGAAGCCTGTGATTGTCTACACTGGGAGAGATATTGTCCATACATGTGGAGAAGGCAGACAGTTCCTGTAGGGTTAGATTTAGCTCAAAGTGTATCTGAGGAAGGAACACACTATTTAATGAAAGGATGCTAATTCTACTATTACCTTTAAACGTTATTCTGAATTCTGCCCCTAGCCATTACAAACAACTTCTCAAGTTCTTCTCTGTGCCCTTAGATTTAACCTGCAGTCATCACCCCTTCTTAACTGCTCTGGACAGAACAAAACCTGAAA